CACCCCCACCCCCCCCCCCCCCCCCACAGTCACGTCAGTCTCTGTACAGAGGAGCTTACACGCTAATGTCCCCCCACAGTCACACACTATGATTATATATATATATAACTCTGACACATACCGCTGTACACTCAGGACACTGAGCCAGGCACATCAGTCTCTGTAAAGAAGAGCTTACACTCTAATGCACAATGGCACCAGCTGTAGGGGGACTACAAATCCCAGCAATACATTATAAAGCAATGCAGAACAGTATATTTAATTCTGGGCTCAGTGACCCACTGGGCGCAGGGATAAGTGACCCGCTGGGCGCAGGGATAAGTGACCCGCTGGGCGCAGGGATAAGTGACCCGCTGGGCGCAGGGATAAGTGACCCGCTGGACGAAGGACCCAGCTGAGACCCCACACATACCCAAGAGTGATCCTGCAGAGCCCACCATAGATGCTGCACAGTCCATCTGATACTCTTTATGGTGGACTCTGCAGGGGGTCTCATGTGGGCTGGTCAGGGATAAGTGACGCGCTGGGCGCAGGGCTTAGTGACGCGCTGGGCGCAGTGCTTAGTGACGCGCTGGGCGCAGGGCTTAGTGACGCGCTGGGCGCAGGGCTTAGTGACGCGCTGGGCGCAGGGCTTAGTGACGCGCTGGGCGCAGGGCTTAGTGACGCGCTGGGCGCAGGGCTTAGTGACGCGCTGGGCGCAGGGCTTAGTGACGCGCTGGGCGCAGGGCTTAGTGACGCGCTGGGCGCAGGGCTTAGTGACGCGCTGGGCGCAGGGCTTAGTGACGCGCTGGGCGCAGGGCTTAGTGACGCGCTGGGCGCAGGGCTGAGTGACGCGCTGGGCGCAGGGCTGAGTGACGCGCTGGGCGCAGGGCTGAGTGACGCGCTGGACGCAGGGCTGAGTGACGCGCTGGACGCAGGGCTTAGTGACGCGCTGGACGCAGGGCTTAGTGACGCGCTGGACAAAGGACCCAGCTGAGACCCCACACATACCAGAGTGATCATGCAGAGCCCACAATAGATGCTGCACAGC